ATCGGAGCCTGGTGCGTGACATAACGGTGCTGAGCGGTTCATTTCCTTTTCCTGTGCCGTAAACAAGGCGTCGAACACGCTCGTTACTCACGCGGTGTTCCCACCAGATGTGAGCTAAATTACGAAGGCACCGGTGGTCGAACGTAAGTAGCCTCTTCAGGTCCGCTGCTTTAAGCGGCCAGGTTTCACAACCGTACAGTGGTGTTCCACTGGTCACAGTACTTGACCCAACACTGTTTTTATTTCACATCAGTGATCTGCCAGGACGCTAGATCTACGTGCGCGCTTTTCGCCGATGATTGAAAGGTCTGGAGAAAGATCTCGTCGTCGTACTATTGGTAGTAGTGGTTGTTGTTGTTGTTGTACTTGTAGTCGTAGCCAAAGATCTTAATAGTCTTGTAAACATACATGGAGCCTACAAAAACCATGGATATTAGCAGATAACATACAGACTCGCCTCTTCGTAATCATCATGACACATAGTTAAAGGTGCGCAACACACTTCAGTTATTGTGCTGCAGGAAGAAAGAAACATTGACAAAAATAGAACAAAACATGAGCTTGTTTTTCACACGCCGATTTTTCTCTTTGTTGTCATTTCCAATGTTTTACGTATTAAACATGTGAATCAATACAATTCTGTACACAGTTCCTCCATTGCTCCCCGTTGCGGGCCATGTTTTCAAGCGTATTAAGCCATTGGCACTTCTCATCCTTGAGTCCCCATCCTGGAAGACGTACTGGTCCAACGGCGACTAGAGGCGACGTCAGCGACTTCATGTGCTGTCGCCAAGTAGAATAATGGCCACCACGCTGTCGCCTCCAACCAGGTCTAAGACCAACGGATAGAGCACAACGCATTAGACGCTCAGGTGCCATGCGTAGGATATGACCGAGCCATCTCAACTGACGCAGCAAAAACCATTTTGTTGAAGGGAATACTCGCATTTCCCAAGATGCAACGTCGAGCGTCACTACTGCTACCTCTATGTTGCCACCAGACACGAGCGCTCCTCCTTCAGTAACCGTTGCCGAAGCAAAAAAGACGACGCGTCTGCCGCGCGAATTGGCCACGACTCACTCTCATGCAACAATACTGAACGAACAGATAAGCTGTAAACATGCTCCTTTAGCTAGAATGATACTTCGCGACAGCAACACAAGTGCCTCAGACCGACAAATGCTGATCGGGTTTTAACCATGCGAAGAGAAACATCCTTGATGATAGTGCCGCCAGCAGAAACACAGCTCCTAAGCTAGACGAAAATATCTACCTGTTCAAGTTGTGTACATTCAAGAGTGAGCACGTGAGCAAGTATGGGCCAATCCTGGAGCAGCACTTTACACTTCTATGGGGGGAAGCTCATCCCATAAACAACAACATCACAAACAACAGTACATCGTCCGTTTCAACGAATGCTTCGCTGCCATACAACCATGATGACCTATGAAATAAAGAATAAGAAGAGGGAGAGAAGGGGGACTTACCTGAAAACCTTAATACACTAAGCAAACATTCAGAGTTAAAGTGCCTACACCTTGCGTTATCTACATACCATCACAAACAGCTGGCTATCATGCAAAGATTAGGCGGAGTCGGCGAGACAGCTACCTTGCGGTTTTCACTGCCCCCCGTCATGCTCAGCCATTACCCCGCAGATAACTCAGTACCAAACACACTTTAAACAGGCAATCCGATTAGGAGACGGCAGCAAACGCGTCACTGGTGTCGACTGCGAGCCATGTCGTGTAAAGTCTCGAGTCAAGCACAAGGCGAGTCACTTGGACTCCATACCGGCAGGCGAAACGAACTGACGGCACCCAGTTTGGTCGTCAGTGACTTCATTTCCTGCCGCCAAGTCAACTTCTGTCCACCTCAAGCCTTGCGCCACCCTACACCTGGCAGGCTAAACAATGCCCTCCTAGGTGAACGGTGGCGAGGCATACGTAGCACGTGCCAAAGCCAGCGCAACTTAATTACCGCTACATGTTATCCTAGGGAGATAGCATGGTTATCACTTGTAGCGATTGTAAAGTTTGCTTATTTTTCATTTTAACGCTTACCTATTTCGCTGCAGTTGTTGTGCAGCTTCGTTTTAATTAATCATATACACATACGCTTGGTTTCGAGCTCCGCTTCCGGGGTTCTACCTTGGTTGCCACTGGATTGTTGTGATTGTGCGCATCGCTGCCTGCTCTATTCACAGTCGGACTTTACGTACACGTACATTTCAGCATACCTCGCGATTTACGGTCGTCCGACGCTAATGCTCATCAGGATATTTTATGTTTGGTAAACCTGACTGACTGGGTATTCTCCTTTACCGGTTCCTCCATCTACTCACCTACGCACATCATCGCTGCGGACACGCTTGTGCCATCCGACACCAGCAATTCTTTGCAGGCAACGATGATCAAAGACTTGAAGGCGCTTTAGATTTTCAGACCGAAGGCGCCAAGTCTCACTCCCATAGAGTAGGACGGCCCTCACTGTGGTCTAGTAAACACGACCTTTTAGTCTGAGGGAAACTCCCTTTTGCCGCCAAAGATGACGCAGGTTTAAGAAGGCAGTTCTGGCTTTTGCAATGCGTGAAGTGACTTCAGTTTTTATGTGCCCATCGTTGCTGATGCAGCTGCCAAGGTAAGTGAATCGATCAACCAGCTCGAGTTCCTCGTTATCAAGGGTTAGGGAATCATCAACTGGCTGGCGGTCCTGCAGCGACACTTTACACTTTAAAGGTGCGAAACGCATACCAAATAATGGAGCCACTCTAGAGATGCTATTCTGGGTTGATTGTCTCCGCAACATCATCAAAAAGCAATGCTGTATCGTCCGCATACTCAAGATCAACTAACCCTTCACTAGGAAGGACCTCAACACCTACATTGTGAGATTCCGTAAAAAATACTCCATGATAGAGTCCCCGGCAAAATTGAACAAAAACGGGGAATTGGGAAACTCTGAAGAACGCCATTTCTTGTGGGAAATCTATTCGACAGGTCACCGTAGACTGACACGGCCTATAGTGTTCTAGTATAGAGCACGTAAGATGTTCACATATTTCGTTGGAACACCTTTCCGCGCAAGTATTTCGAACAGAATGCATCGATCGACTGAATCGGATGCCCTCTTGAAATCGAGGAACACAGCTATTGTCGGTTTGCGGTATGCGTGGCGCTGCTCTAGCATCTGCCACAGAGTGAATATATTGATCTATACAGCCACGTCCTGGGCGGGAATTCGCCTGCTCTTCTCTACTCCGAGATTCCCGTTCCATAGTGAGGTGATGAACGAGAATCGAGGTCAGTACTTTTTTCACAACTGGCGTTAGGTTAATACCCCTGTGGTTAGCACCGTGTGTGCGGCTGCTCTTCTTGTATATTGCCACTATAATCGATTCACTCCACTTAGGCTGCACACTGGTCCTTCCATATATATTTGAATACGGAAGTCAGTGCTTTGCAGAGGACCTCACCTCCATCCTTAAATAGTGCAGGTGGGAGGGAATCCAGACCAGCGGCACAAAAACACCTAAGGACTGTGATCGTGTTTCGGACCTCGGCTTCCAACGGAGGCTCTAAACTAACCGTCAGTGGCTCGTCCCGCATCATCTGAGTAGGAAGATGCCCGGGAGCAGGCGGTCAGCTGAACTGATCTTGAAATGTTCCGCCCAACGAGGTATCCGGCGCTCCTTACTGTATATCAGTGCACCCGCGATGTCTGATTGTCACACTGACGCCTGATTTCCAAGGACCGGTAGTGCGGATCAGCTGCAAGAGCTTGTGGTAATTGCCTACTACTCCTGCCTCCTCTATTCCTTGACGATGGAGACAACCAATATCCGGTTATTTACCGTAGCCTACGCATTGACTACGATACTGATATTATTTATATCTCATGAAGCACATACATTCTGTGATATTCGGATCCTGCTCGTTTGTTTAGTATCTTCCCTGCTGCACTCTGTGAGACCTACCCGGCTGATATGTTGAATTGACAACAACTAAGCGTTCGCTCCATTCCCTTATGGAACTTCGCCGTTTCTTATCTTTAGTGTTCCGTCCCCCTCCTAGAAATCCCGTATCTTTGCTATTTTTTGTTCACTTACTCGTTTGGATGCCTGTCACTTTGGAGCTGCCACTGCCCTTGGTATCCTCGCCATGTCGCGTCATTGTTCTCTAACGATTTGAATGTCACACTCATTTGTTAATCTGGTCCATTCCCTGCTTGCCGAAACTTAAGCCCTGCTTACCCCATCTAACAGTCATATTTGGGCATACCACTTGACATAAATCCTAATCTAACTATCGGCGAATTGTTTTTGCCAGTATATGAATAGACATGAAGCCATCAAAACTCATGCAAACCAAGAGGAAGGTGATGTAATCACAAAAAGAATAATCGAGCACAATTGGCAACAACCCATGGTTTCTTCAAGGAACTTGGTACTACCCGGTTTCCGAAGCCGAAGTAGGCAGTTGACTTCGATCAAATCACCCCGAGCTTTTGGCTAATAAGCCTACCCACAGAGCAGCGGAGTGAATAAGGGGAATAGCGTCCATTGGGAGCCGGTGACCGATTTTTCGGTTAATACTTCTTTGGTGTGTTACCAAACACAGATTTTGCGTTTAACCTCTGGATTTCATTGTTCTACCTAGACGAAGCAAGTGACAATGACCTTAGTTGGCGACTAGTTCCATTCGTCACGTAGTATTATTAAACGGACATTTGTGGCTTTTATAAGAAGAACGCTTTTTCTACAATACTATATCCAAGCTATTTACTTGAAGGGAATGTACTCTAACCACCCAACTTGCACCACAAGCTAGTTCGGCAAGCAATCTATCGGCGAATGGCTGTATCTGCTTACCAAAACGCAGACGTATATCACTGAATCGCTTTCTAACTCATGTTGCAACGCCGATTAAGGTAGCTCTCCTTTTATTCATGCTTCATTTTCTGTCCGTTTTAATCGCATCATCTATCTCTCGTGGTTTTAGAGTCCTAAATGTTTTACGCGCACTTTGTGCTCAACAAGAAGGGGCCTTTGGCCCGAATCTGGCTAGCTGCACATTGGGACAAAAAATTGACCCGTGCCCATGTTTTTGAGACCAACATCAGCTCAAGTGTCGAGGCAATCTTGGAGCCCAAGTTGAAGATGGCGCTACGCACGTCTGGTCATCTACTTTTGGGCGTCGTACGGATTTATTCACGCAAGGCTAAGTATCTATTGGCCGATTGCAATGAAGCTTTCGTTAAAATAAAAATGGCTTTCCGACCGGGTATGGTGGATTTGCCAGATGACGCCAACCGTGAAGCGGCTATTGCGGCCATTACGCTCCCCGAGAACATTCACGACTTTGAAGCTACTATTGCTGACCTGAAGTAAGTTCTTGTTTCTGGGTCATCATTGTTCATTTGTTACAGTGAAATAAATATGAATACCATAGCCATCAACCAAAGTCGACCAGAAGATATTACCATGCGAGAAGATTTCGGCGAAATAAACCTCGGACGACAAGACGACGATTTCGGCGACTCCGTTTTCGATGAGGCATCTAGCCGTGAGGTGATTCGTGAGGGAGACAAGACGTACAGCGATGGCATTTACCGACCAAGCGATCAACTTTCTGTTCGTGGGGGACCGGATTTTTCCATTCGATCTGACCAGGAAATGGACGCAACATTGATTGGTGGTGATCATCTTGTGGGCTTACAAGACCGACAACCTAAACCTGGAGATCTAACTGCCCGGGCCGATGATATCGGCATCGATGACAACGATTTTGGAGATGGATTTTTAGGTTAGTGGTTCTCCATGTAAATTTCACCCGGTGTTTTAATGTTGTGCACCATCATCAGTTTCAGTTTTACTATAACGGGACAACAACAGGCCGCGTCAGAGTCTACAGTGACCTGTCGGATAGCCTTCCGACAACAAGTGGCGTTCTTCAAAATTGTTCGAGTTTCCCATTTTTGCTCAACTTCATTGTGGATTCCATCATGGAGTGTTTCCTTGCGGTATCTTACGATGCAGGTGTTGACCTGCTTCTTGCTGAAAGGCTTGTTAATCTTGATTATGCGGAAAGTATCGTCATACTGTTTAACAATGTTGGGGCGGCGTAATCAACCCTGAATAGCCTCTCTGGTGTGGTTCCATTATTAGGGCTGCGCTTTGCATCTTTAAACTGCAGTGTTGCTGCAGCCACTTGATGATTCTTTGCTATCAGATATCGAGAAACTTGTAGTTGATCAATTCAATTAGCTTGGCAGCTGCATCAGTAACGAGTGGTTCACAAAACTGAAGTCAGCTCACGTATTGCAAAATCCAGAACTGCTTTTTCTCCAATCTGCGATACCCTTGGCGATAGAAGGAAGTTTCCCTCCGTCCGAAAAACCGTGTTTCAAAGGACACCCTGTGAGTCGTCCTACTCTATGGGAGTGAGAATTGTCTGATGATCTGAGGCGCCTCTAACTATTTGGTCACCGTTGTTTGTGGAGCATTGCTGGTGTCAGGTGGCACCAGCGCATCCGCAACGTTGATGTGCATAGGCGAGTACTAGGCAGTGATATTCAAGCTAGTTCCTTGGAATAAAAGTTAGCACTGAATAATTTGCGTGTGCTTGCGCACATGCTACATATCCCTCGTCACCGCTCACCTAGAAGGACCATGTTTAGTCTGCCAGGTTAAGGATGGCGCAAGGCTCGAGGTGGACAGAAGTTGACTTGGCGGCAGGAAATTAACTCACTGACGACCAAACTGGGTGCCGTTGGCCCGTCTCGCCTTCCGGGCTGGAGTCCAAATGACTCGCCTTGTGCTTGGCTCGAGACTATACAGGACATGGCACGCAGTCGACACCAGTGACGCATCTGCTGCCTTCTCCTAATCGGATTTCCTGTTTAAAGTGGGTTAGGTACTGAGTTAACTGCGGGGTAATGGCTGATTCTGACGCGTGGCAGTGAAAGCCGCAAGGAAGCTGTCTCACCGATGCCGCCTTATCCTTGCACGGTAGTCAGTTGTTTGTGATATTATGTTCTTAACACAAAGTGTAGACGCATTGAGCCTGAATGTTTGCTTAGGGCACTAAGATTTTCAGGTAAGTCCCCCTCCTCTCCCTCTTATTATTCTTCGTTATGGTTGTATGGCAGCGGTGTATCAGTTCACTTGGCTGATGTACTGTTAATGTTGATGATGAGGACGACTCAAAGTGACAAATCCATTCCTTTATCTGACTAACTGTATCAGTTCTGACGGTTATATCCTGGAGGAGATCGCCACACTCATTGGTAATACTCGCATGGATTTTCAAGACGGGATATAAGCCTTAAGGTCAAGGGAAGGGGTTACCCAGATACTGTGGGCCACAATTCCTGTACGCATCAGAGATATGGCTGCTGCGCCTTTTAGAGACTAGAAGATTGGTTTTGTTTAACTACTGACGCCTGCGCTGTGTTCCTCATGCTTGGTAGGAGAACCGAATGAGTCACTTTGAAAAATGGCACCAGCAGTACGCCGGTACGCAGTACCGACGCTTCGCTGCCGCGCGACAACCACACCAGTCGCACGTGGGCTAAGGCTACTACGAGGGTCGTCTGTTCCCATGCAGGCTTCAACTTGCGCCCTCGTACTACAAATCAGGTTTGTGATCCTTAAGGCTACGGGCTGGTAATGGGCTTCTTTGAACTCCATCATGTTGTGTTTGGTGCCCAACTTTCTGGCACCTCGTCGGAACTCCTCCGGGATCCTGGTCACATGCCCCGCATTCCTGCAAGCCAGCTACCTTGGCGTATATTATTTATCAATGCTGACCTAGTTAGGTAAAGTCCCTGAGGTGGTTGTTGGTCAGTGACATTACAAAAGCAAGGCTGATCGGTACTAGTGTTTCCTGCCTTCGTAGTTGGAAACCTTGAGATTGGAACAACACCGGTGGCTAGATACTCTTTCGGACATGGCGCGATCGCAAGGCTCTCTTGACTTTGTTCCCTGGCCCCTAGCTGCTCCATCTGGCGATTTGACTTTCTGCTCATTTGTATTTACAAGGTATGCCCAGGCAACTTGACCCACCGCATCTCGGTGCGCGGATCTCAGTTTGTAACCTGAACTAAACGAAAGCACATCAATATCCTCATGTTCTACGGCTTGAAAGTTCCTACACGTTTCCTACTTTTCAAACGCATTCTTTATATCTTACTCTTCGGGTTCTATCATGGCACTATTCGCAAAGCACTGGCAGCAAAAGTACCATGCTGGTATCTCCCCTAATTTTTCCCGTCGCAAACGTTGAGCCGTATCTATTTTTTGCTTACTTTCTGCTTTTGAATCACTTGTCTTGCAACTTCTGAGCTTTGAGTACAATTTCCCGCTCCCAAATCGGTCTGAGTAATCGTGTAGCGTTATAACCCTTTGTCTGACCAATTGCAGTTTCGTAGCAACGAAGCATCGGTCCAGCATACAATCGCACACCTATTGGTCTCTTTCTCTAAAGGCCTTTTTCTGTATTCCTTTTCTCCTTGCTCCCAGTACTATGGTAACGTGACTTATAGCAGTTCGACTCCTAGGTTTTTGTCTGTCCCGTACTTGACAGCTGAACGAATCAATACACCCCGTCGCGTGACAATATAGCTTTCCTTTGGGGAGTGGACTCGTTTTGCTCTTGGTTACTACCTCTTGCGCTTGCTTCACCATCGAAGAGCTCTCTCCTTATTTACTTTCCAAATCCCGGGTTTAAATTTTTTACTTAACCGACTTCTCTGAATTCGATTTGAGCAGTTTGCCTGACACACAATCTGTCTCTAACGTTTCGTATTTCTGTTACTACATCGATTTTTAGGTGCACCGGATGATGACGATGAGAACTTTGGTGGCGAAATCGATCACTCCCTCTTTACTGATGTCGCCATCTTTGAAGACCCCTCTGCACAAAAGCAGTTGGAGAACATTACTTCTGAAATTGAGTCCCACATGGATACAGCTCGGTTCAATTTACATGACAGGACCACTCCAATTCCCACCTCTGCTGATGCGTTGGATCAGGGTCCTCCCGGTCAACCAGTCGCCACCACTGTGAGTCATCTCATACGCGATGGATTCCCGGCTACCGCCGTTACTGCGACCGGCGATAGTGTGTCGGAGACGAGCTTGACCTGTCTACCTGCGGTTACTCTAACAGTGTCTAGAATAGGGGCCAGCACCATTCACGGCGAGAGCACTACTTTATTGACCAATGAATCGGAAGCTTTCGCTTTGCCGCCAATCGACGCCACTACTGTCATAAGCACGGAACCTAAGAGGTATGTTTGCCCATGTTTTGTTGTTTCCGGGGTATCTTTCACACAGCGGTCGCCATCGTTATTGCTACTCTGCCCCAAATCTTCAGTCCTGGTGTAGAAATAAGAACGGTGTGGCTTAACAGTACGGTATAGCGCTGGTAGTTTCGGAGCTGGCCCAGGTTGATAAATACCACTGGTATTAATAGCTATCACCAACTGGTCGATCTGCTCACTTACTTTGATACATTTTATGGCCGAATCATTGAAATGTCGCTTCATTAAAGCTCACATGGCTCTCCAGTCTCAACTACCTAAGGAGACGGCGGGATCTGTACCCATCACCCAAAGGTTATATGTACAGCGCTCCGATATGGACGGTGTTTCTGTATGGATTTGTAAAATAGACCACTTCGCGCTAGTAACCTTACGAAGTTGGTCGTCTTCCATCATCGATGCTTGCAAATGTTTGTCCACATCTGGTCGAAACACTGGATGAGTAATTCGGAAGTCTGCCAGTTGGTGTTCGACACTTGAACCTCTGTTGCCTCATTGAAGTTTCTTTCAAACTGGAACCGTTTGTGTCGGCCAGGCCAAGTCGTTTGCATACCTCTTGACTGCCTTCCTCAACGTGCATTATATGCTATCGCTGCATGTAGTTGGGCCGTACGGCTAGATGGTCAGCCATTGACTTGGTAATGTGGAGGAACTTGACCGAGAAAGTTGTTCAGACTCGTCCTGGTCTTCTTCGTATGTACTACATCGGGGTAGATCACACCTGTGGTTGGGGACCTTAACTGACATGCTGCGATCACGCAACGAATTTCGCATCCCGATTAATATTGCATTCTGTTAATGTTCCATCTCGTTTATTATTGTTATTGGTCTAGCGACGTGAATCGTGGCAATTGGGTCCACTCGTGCCTGGGCGCTTGTTCTTTGACTGAAATAAACTTAACCGCTGATGGATGCCACTGTTATCACGAGCACTTAACTTGGAGGCTAGGTTCGCTCATACGTTGTTTCTGGCAGTGATTGCTATCGTTATTGCCGTTCAACATTACACGTTACAGTCCTCCAATAAGTTCGACAATACGATGCGGCCACAGGGCTTTGGAGCGGTTTGTGAGCATCGCACTTAGCGCAGACGAACAGACAGTCCTGACTGTGGTGCGCAGCCATCGTTCAGAGTTCCAAGGATCTATAACCATTACCCTGATTAAAATAAGGCTATAAATGGAATTTTCTCGGTTAACTTGGCTAACTAAGATCGAAGGCAAGAGCACTGATGCTGATATATGGGAGCAGTGATTAAACTATAATGTAACTCATGAGTGAGGTATTTTTGGTCTGATTGCTTGAGCTTTTATCGAAGGACTTTCCAAGTCCTCGAAGCTGCTTCAATGAAACCTCAATTAATTACATCAAATATCCCCATACGCATGAGTACAGCAAAATGTCGCGGAACTCAGTCCTTCAAGGACAAGAGTTTATTCGGCACAGACAACTCGGCACAAATTGCAGCACGTTTGACACGCCAAACTTCTCGATATAAGTTGCACGTTGAAGTCCATAACTAATGACCCTTCTGAGATGATGAGGTTCCCCTCTCGAATGGCCTTAACTTTTTCTAGATCGACCCTGACTCCTTTGGTTGTTAACAAATGCCCATGGAAAATCACCTCGTCTTCCCAAAGTTCAGTTTTCTCGCGTTTAAGCTTGATGTATTTTACTCGCAACGATGCAAAAAACGGTGGAGATTAGCGTCATGCTCTTCTTCTGTCGATCCATAAATCAAAACATCGTCTGCCACGGATGTCGTCTACTGCTTGCACCAATCGCTTTTGAAAAATTTCACTCGACACCTTCAAGTCAACCGGTAAACGCAGCCAATGATGACCGAACGATGTGGCAAATGTAGGAAGGAAATTGGATTCATCATCTAGAACCACATGCCAAAATACCGAAGAGAGGTTTACCTTCGTGAAACACTAAGCTTTGACCAATCGCGGCAAAATATGTTTTGGGGTAGATAGCACATAATGCTCTCTACGCAAGGCCCTAATTCAACGGTTTCGGGTCAATACTCACGTGTAGTCCTCCGGTCTTCTTCTTAATGATAGCAATCTGACTAACCCAGCCGGTTGGCTCGTCGACCTTGACAATCACACCCTCTCGCACTAATTTGCTCAATTCAGCGGAGAACTTGTCACGCAGTGCAAATGGAACTCTCCTATCTAGTAGCGCTGTTGGTCGTATCAAAGGATCTAAAGACAAATGAGTAGTTCCCTCAAACTTTCCCAAACTCGGACTAAACACAGGCTGGCACTGATCACTAACATCGGTTTCTCCCTGACAAGCATGCACGAAACGATCATGATTAAAAACAACAAAACCGAAATTCTGGATCGAATCAATGCCGAGAATCGGCGTGAGCTCCTCCTCCCTGATCACAAACTCCAGTCGATATGAGACTCTGTCTCTTGAGTTAGCGACTTCGATTGTAGCTGAGCCCTTTAGATGAAGTATGGAACCATTCCACACGCACAGGCAATCTCGATCGGGTTGAGTGTGCACACCGGGACATTGCTTCCCTGGTAAAATGTTGACAGTAGCTCCCGTGTCCAACTGGAATCGTACGGTTTTGCCTCCGATCAAAAGACTTGCGTAGGCACATTTTTGCGACGTTCTCCGAGACACGTTACCGATTGAATGTTCTGCCTCTGTAGGCAACTTGCCACGAACAAGCGCACTCACATTGGTTGATTGGCAACAACGAGCAAAATGGTTCCTTTTTCCACATTTGGCGCGTTTCCGTCCCCACGCCGGACACTGTTCGCAAGAGCTCGGGTGTCGCGCGGCGCAAAATTTGCAGATATCCTGTCTCACGTTACTAGCTTTCGCTGCTTCGCCTCCAGAAACACCACACAATTCTGCATCTGTTGCGAGCTTCGTTTGTTGCTATTGATAGGGGGTCGAGGACTCAATGTTGCAGATATCAATGCACTGCTGGAGCGATAACTTGTGTTATCGCAAAAGCCGCTATGTCGTACTTTCATCATTGATTCCTAGAACGACCCGATCGCGTATAAGACTGTCGCCAAAACATTTACAGAAATTACAGGATTGGGCCAAAATTTTCAATTCAGTGACGTACGCGTCGACTCATCCGTTTGGGCCTCTTTTGCGCGAAAAGAAAAGATAGCGCTGGTAGGTCTCATTGGTTTGACTTTCGCAAAATTCACTGAACTTTCCAATGACCATCTCCAAATTATTGGAATCTTCGCCTTTGTCGTAGTGCGATGTCTCTAGAACACGGCGCGTGTCCCCCTCGGTTGCGTGTCGAAACATGACCAAGCAATCCACCATCGGTTGTTCGTCCAAACATACTAAGGTGCAGAACTCCTCCCATTTGCTCTTCTATAGACGCCAATCACTCGCCAAGTTCCGTTCATCCATGTTCAATGGGGCATGCATTTGAATAAATGGCGGTGATCCAAACATCATCCGCGCGCCGTCGGTATGGTACCTCTTTCTCTTCCCTGACACCAGGTTGCAGAACAGTCCTTCAGGGACAAGCGTTTAGTTGGCAAAGACAGCTCAGCGAAAATTACAGCGTGTTTAGCAAGCCAAACTTCTCGATATAAATTGCAGGTTCAAGTCCATAACTAACGACCCTTCTGATTCGATGAGGTTCCTCCTTTGCTTCAGTTAAACAAACGGTGAATCACTCACATGAATACCGGCCAATCCGAGTCCAGTAATCGAATCCGTCACGCCCGTCTCTCATTTGCTTTCTGGCTCGCTCTGTCTGACACTCCCATCACACAAAATATCCACCCTAACAGTTTCTAGCTTCTATGTAGCACGTAGCTACCGTCAGTGGAAGTCGTGTCTCTCGGGGCCAACTGCGACGTTCGTAACTTGCTTGGTAGTGAAGTATGAGACGCGCTACATCGCTGTTCGCTTGTCAATCATGACGATCCACCGCTCTCCTTCGTGGCCCATTGGTATAAGCTGTTGGCTTTTGACACAAGTCGCTAGCGATCATGGAATTGGTTCCTAGTGGATCCGGTGGATGAGCACTACTGAGAAGACCCAACAGGTCGAAACTGCAATCTGGTGCTTTCCCAATCATGTCGAAGACTATCTGATTCTGAAGGTACTGCGATGAAACTTCAATTAGATGATTAACTCAAACTCTTACGTTGACTAAGTTCTACACTTTATGCTTATGTCTGTTAGCCAATTATGTCCTCCTTGTGTGCCCTGTTTATCATAATTGCGCCGAACACATTTATTGCTCACACTGCGTCCCCACAAGATATGAGCCGAACTGCGAAGGCACCGGTGGTCAGATTTAATTAGTCTCACTGTATCTGCCGATTTAATGGGTCAGGTTTCACAACCGTATAGTAAGGTCGAACCTACGGCTGCATTGTACACTTTACCCTTCAGGGAGAGTGATTTCACGCCAGCACCATAGGTGGCGACGGTTAGCAAAAGCGCCTCGTGTTTTTGCTATGCGGTTTGTGACCTCCTCTTTTATTCCACAGGCGCTGATAAAACTGCATAGGTAGTGGAATTTTTAAACGATTTCCAGCTGATCCTCACTAAGGTTCAGCGCAGGACGCAGTCCCTGTCAGTCTTGGAGGAAAGCTTTGCACTCCGATGGTGCAAAGCATAATCCGAAACGGTTGACAGCCAGTGCTAATCTGTCTAGTGCTGCTTGGCACGTTCTGGAGCTGTCACAGATGAGCGCAATGTCATCAGCACTTTCCAACTCAAGAACTCATTCACCTGGGAGCAGCTACACGCCTTGCAGGTCATGTCCAGTGAATGCGGACACCGTGGCGTCGTCGTAGCGCAGTTGACGAGGAAAGGTGACAGCGGGCATCCCTGTCTTACATCGTTGGAGATATTGAAGGGAGGCGACAGCTTACCGTAATCTCTCACTCTGCCCGTGCTACGCGCGTAAAGCGCTTGGGTACTATGTACCTATTTCTCGGGCACACGTTTCCTGA